ATTATCACAAAAATTGGGAAAAATCACATATTTGGGTTCAAAATGTGATGGGGAGTTCAATTTTAGGGTTTAATTTGAAAAAATCGGTTGAAATTGAGCTCAATTTGAGTTTTTAATCAAAATCGGGCCTGCCGGGTTGACTAGGTCAACCCGACCCGACCCGACCCAGTGACCTGTCTTCTTCACCCGGTTCACCCCAGAACGTTCAAAACCCAGAAAATTCCATTTCAAGCCCGCGACTTCACCAGCCTTAATCCCACAACAAAAACGTGCGAAATACCGATCTAATAGCTGGATAATCACCGGTTGTCATCGGTTATTCGGTCTAACCGATTCAAGGTTGGTTCTAACCGAATTTGGGCGGGATTTTTTATCAACAAAAAGCTGAAAAAAACTGAAGATTGAGAAGAGAGGTGTTCGGTGAATGAGAGAGAGAGAAAATGAGCGAAATCAAAGAGAAGGATCGAGAGAGAGAGGGTCGAGAGTCCCGTCACGAGTGTCCGGTGCCGTCGTGAATGGTGGAGCACCGGCGAATTGTGGATAGGCCGTGACTCTCCCCTGGTCGTTTCAGTCAGACAAACTGATCGCGAAGCCCTGAAAACGAGCTTCGTCCGGCGTGCCGAGAGATACTCCGACGAATATGAAGCTACTAGGGTGAAGATCAAGTGTCAAGGAACAACTCTAGAGGCGCGGATTAGTTCGGCAATTCCTCCTGATCATTGAACAAAGAAGGTAAAGTTGGCTCATAGTTATTTTTTTCAAATTTTCCAGAATTCAGTTCCAATCCCAATATGAATGTTTATGTGATTTCGTCGATGAATTTTGGCATTTTGATGTTCAGAACTAGTTTCTAATCTTTTTTGGTATTGTTTGATTGCATTTCGGACATTAAAAACACATAAATCGAGTTGGCCACCCCCATGAACCATCTTGCCGGAGCTCGGAGGTCCTCACCGGAGCATCACCGTGGCCATAGGCCTGTCAAGTTAACCTTCTTTAATCATTGTTTGATGTTTTTGTCTTTAATTTGAACCGAACTAGATGGTTAAGGCGAGTAGAATAGGGGTTTTAAGTTATGATGAGCATGATTTAGGTTGGCAACAAATTAGCATTTTCCAGCGAGGATTTCGCTGGTCGGTGACCGTCCGACGGCCAATCAGCTGGTTTATTAGTTTAGTTTGATAGTAGATGATATAGTCTCAATGTAGAATCCAAAATCATGGTCGGAATCACACCCGAGATCGTCGGATCCTGATCCGAAGTCACGGCCTCGAAAACATTAAACTGGAAATTGTGCATACAAAATGTTTGGCAAAATGCCTAAGAGAAAAATGGTTAAAACGGCGCCATTTTTGGCTCTTGGCTTGCCGAAGAAGACGAATGGCGACTAGCGCCAACGACGCCTAGTTCGGTCAGGCCGAACCGGGTTGAACCGGGCCGGTCTGGTTCGTTTACCAGCGGGAAATTTAAAAAAAATAATAAATAATAAAAAAAATCTAAAAAAATAAAAAAATTCATAAAAAAAACTAAAAAATTCATAAGAATAAAAAATTCAGAAATTTTTTTGGAAAATCAGAAAAATTTTAAAAAAATAGGAAATTCACAAAAAAATAAAAAAAATTAGAAAATTCATAAAAATTCAAGAAATTTTCAGAAAATTCAGAAAATACAAATAAAAAATGTAAACAAATTTTAGAAAGTCAATAAAAAATTGAAAAATTAGAAAATTCATAAAAATTTTTAGAAAATCATAAAAATCAATTCCCGGTTAATGAAGTTTCCAGAAAAAAAAATCAAAAAATTTCAAAAATTTTAAAAATTCACAGCATAGTCCAAAAACACTGTGGCCAACCTTAGAAAGTGAAATTTGAATTTTTGGAAATGCCTAAGTGGCATTTTTAGAAAATTTCAAATTCAATGGTTATAACCCCTAAAAAACCCTAAAACCCTAAAAAATGTAAATCATGAAATGAATAAGCTTCTAGAGCTTCATTAGGGTTTGGATGTTTTGATTGATTTTCATTTTTAGAGACCATTTAGGATTGATTGATCTAATTGATATCAATTGTGCATTTAATACTTGGTTGGTTTTTCCTGCGATTAGAATGGATAGAATTAGTGGGTAAGCCTCGGAAATTTACATGACACGTTAGATATCGTATCGTTCTTAGGTACCAAAAAGGCGTTAGGGATCTCGATTTGGGATCAATAACGTAACCAAGTCCCCGTACTTAGAATCTTTGGTTCGTAGAATCGTGGTATTTCTCCCATACCCCGATTAGGTTTCTAGTCTACCTACCAATAATGACTAGTGGCGACTCCAAAATCATAAACTTAGACTAAATAGGAAATTAACATCCGCTGTCACGTGAGGTATGGTCTGGGAGAGACCCTTACACGGAAATACTTCCTTAGCGTGCAAATCCTGAAAGCCCCAAAAAAGCGCGGTGCGACAATTCTTAATGGTCACCTGATTCAACTGTCTGTAGTCAATACACAACCTCAAAGACCTATCTTTCTTTCTCACGAATAACACTGGCGGATAAAGCCTTTGTCCAACAACTCCTGCATTTGGACCTTTAATTCTTTTAATTCTGACAACGACATCCTATAGGACGCTTTCGAGATCGGTTCTGTTCCTGGGGCCAACTCAACCACGGACTCCACTTCCCTCTCAAGTGGCAATCCCGACAATTCCTAAGGAAAGACAACGGGGAAATTGCGCACTACGGCTATGTCTTCTAGCTTCGGCTCTCCAGCCGTCGAATCAACTACAGTCGCCAGAAATCCTTGGCACCCTTCGTCTAACAGCTTAGTCACCTCAAGTGACGAGATCCAAGGGATCGAGGTTCCTCCTCAATTTCCCACAAACTCGAATCTAGGATGTCCAACCGGATTAAATTGGATCACCCTGTTACTACAGTCTATTATAGCTTTCTGTTGGGGTAAGTACAGCGCAAGTGTCATAACTTTTGTACGGAGGACACTTGAGTGCCATAACTTTTTTTTGGCTCACTTGAGTGCCATAACTTAAAAAAAAAGATTACTTAAGTGCCACTTACGAGCTGGTCGTGAGGGCCTGAAACCGCGATTTTTCCGACCGAACAATGACCTTCCTGGCGAGACGAGCACCGCCAGCTTGAAGAGGGGGTGTCGGTGAATCATTCCATGGCCTACGTTCGTCTCGAAATTTCCGTTTTAGCCTCCGTTGACAAAGGTAAAAATGCTTCGTAGTCACACAAATCGGCTCGATAAATGTGTGACTACAAAGCATTTTTACCTTCGTCAACGGAGGCTAAAATGGAAATTTCGAGACGAATGGAAGCCATGGAATGATTCACCGACACCCCCTCTTCAATCTGGTGGTGCTTGCCTCGCTGGGAAGGTCACCGTTAGGCTGGAAAAGCCGCGGTTTCAGGCCCTCACGACCAATCCCTCTGACAAGCTAGTTGTGAGGGCCTGAAACCGCGGCTTTTGCGGTCGAATGGTGACCTTCCCGGCGAGGCGAGCACTACCAGCTTGAAGAGGGGGTGTCGGTGAATCATTTCATGGACTCGATTTGTGTGACTACGAAGCATTTTTACCTTTGTCAACGGAGGCTAAAACGGAAATTTCGAGATGAACGAAAGCCATGGAATGATTCATCGACACCCCCTCTTCAATCTGGTGGTGCTCGCCTCGCCGGGAAGATCACCGTTCGGCTAGAAAAGCCACGGATTCGGACCCTCACGACCAACCCCTATGACAAGCTAGTCGTGAGGGCCTGAAGCCGCGGCTTTTCCGGTAGAACCGTGACCTTCCCGGCGAGGCGAGCACTACCACCTTGAAGAGGGGGTGTCGGTGAATCATTTCATGGACTTCGTTCGTCTCGAAATTTCCGTTTTAGCCTCCGTTGACGAAGGCAAAACTGTTTCATAGTCACACAAATCGGCTCGATAAATGTGTGACTACGAAGCATTTTTACCTTCGTCAACGGAGGCTAAAACGAAAATTTCGAGACGAACGGAGGCCATGGAATGATTCACCGACACCTCCTCTTCAAGCTTGTGGTGCTTGCCTCGCTGGGAAGGTCACCGTTAGGCTGGAAAAGCCGCGGTTTCAGGCCCTCACGACCAATCCCTCTGACAAGCTAGTTGTGAGGCCTGAAACCACGGCTTTTGCGGTCGAATGGTGACCTTCCCGGCGAGGCGAGCACTACCAGCTTGAAGAGGGGGTGTCGATGAATCATTCCATGGCCTCCGTTCGTCTCGAAATTTCCGTTTTAGCCTCCGTTGACGAAGGTAAAAATGCTTCGTAGTCACATAAATCGGCTCGATAAATGTGTGACTACGAAGCATTTTTACCTTCGTCAACGGAGGCTAAAATGGAAATTTCGAGACGAACGGAAGCCATGGAATGATTCACCGACACCCCCTCTTCAAGCTGGTGGTGCTCGCCTTGCCGGGAAGGTCACCGTTCGGCTGGAAAAGCCGCGGTTTTGGGCCCTCATGAACAGCTCATAAGTAGCACTTAAGTGATCTTTTTTTTGGAAGTTATGGCACTCAAGTGAGCCAAAAATAAGTTGTAGCACTTAAGTGTTCTCCGTACAAAAGTTATAGCACTTGCGTTGTACTTACCCCGCTTTCTATTTAACTAACTAGTCCATACCAATAATCACATCAAAGTCATGCATAGCTAAAACCACCAAATCTATCATTTCTTCCCTATCACCAATCACTATCTTACAATCAGGGCATCCAAACGCAATTAGCACTTTATCATTCAACATAGTAGTCACACACAGCATAACTTCAAGCGGTTTCGGCTCAATCCCAGACAATTTAACAAACTGCTCAGATATAAACGAATACGACGCCTCCAGATCAAATAAAGCATATGCAGCATGATCCGTGATCACAGAGAGAGACCGTACTTGTGACTACGCCAGGCGCGTCCTCAACTTCCCTTCTCGCCATTGCATATACTCGTCCTTGGGCTGGCGGTCTATTCTGATTGGCCAGCTAGATAGCTCCGAACTGATTTCCATTCCGGGGCGGCGGTGGCAGCAGCGCAGGCGACCCAGCCTGTCTGTTATTGGGGCATTTCCTGAACTGATGGCCCATTCCGCCACAAATAAAACACGCTCCGCCCCTATTTGGGCAAGGTCCATTCCCGTGTCTCCCTCCACATAACCTACACGGGGCGTTCTGAAAGCGATTAGGCTTCCCGATATTTCTTTGAACAAGGGGAACAAAATGATTATTTCCCGTCATAGGTCTCTTCCCAAAACGACGATTGTCCCAAGCCGGGGCCTGCCGCGATCCAAAAGCGGTAGCCCGATCCATTAAATCATGCTTGATTGCCTGAGCTCGGTCATATATCTCATGATATCCTCTCAAGTTTAGTGAGATCATCTGACTGCGGAGGTCCGGCTTCAGTCCATTTCGGAACCTCCTGGCTTTGTCCACTGGGTCCTTTACCATTCTTGGGGAAAATTTAGACAGCCTTGCGAACTTGACCTCATATTGGTCTACCGACCTCTGACCCTGGCGAAGTTTCATGAATTCAGCCAACTTCTGCTCTTGGGCACTTTTCGAGAAATACTTGCCATTGAAGGTCTCGATAAAAACAGTCCAAGTCGGGGCAGTACCTGCGGGGAACACTTGACCTCTGGTGGCTCTCCACCAATTGCTTGCATTTTCTTGAAGCTGGTAGACTGCCAGGGTTACTTTTTCCTCTTCAGTGCATAACAGCACTTTGAAGGCTTTCTCTAGTTCTTCAACCATCGAGGTACAGCCTTAGTGTCACCTCTCCCATCAAACCTCGGGGGCTTCAACTTCAGAAACTGTTCTACCAGCTTAGACATTGGTCTGTTTGCCTATACTTGGCCTTGAGCGGGGTGCCCGCCATTCTCGTGGTTCCCATTGTTTCCATTATTCCCATTGGCTCCGTTGGCGGCAGCAACAGCGGCCTCAGTAGCAGCAGCGACAGTAGTATTTCATTCTTCAGTCTGTCTACCCATTAAAATCCCGATTTCTTGTAGTACCCTCAGAATTCCATCCACCCGGGGATCCTCTGCAACTCTAGCTTATGGGGCCACACGACCTCGACTGCTCATTCTCACAGGATCTCACACCCGCCTACTTGCTATAATTCAACTCAGGAATTAGAGACCTAGGCCAACTATACCAGTCTAAAGCCCTAGACAGTGAATCACAACAATAATTCACTAAGCAGGCAGCCAATCACATACAGCACTCAATCTCAGCCAACATGGTTCGTGCATTTACCTCAAGTCCTGACGCACCTGCACCTCACATATTATTGCATAAAATCACTCAGCAATCACAATCACACAGTCTGGGGTACGCATGGCACATGAGTCTCCCTAACTGGCTACCCCGAAGTCGTCGCTCCTTATCGCTCCAGGCTTCGACCAACTTGGATCAAGCCGACCTTGCTCTGATACCAAATCAACGGGGATGTCACGCTCTGAACCCCAATGGGCTCGCGACACCCCTTCGACGATCGTATTGAACGCGACGTCCCAGGATGCATCGCCGACCCGAACGAAACACTCGAAGACAAACGCAAGCGGAAGCGGAAATCAAACAACCCAGACAATAAATAATGACAACAGGGTAGTACTTGTACAAAACAATAAACTCATATCATTAGCTTGAGACCATAAAATTCATACAATAGGCTTCTAGGGTTAGCATCCACCTTCATCATAAAAAATGAACAGATGGTAGGGTAAGGTAGGCTAGCTAGCTGCACAAAAAGGGCTCTACCAAAAAGGCTTTTAAGCTCGGCACCCAAACGCCCCTACAGTGCCCAATCAGGATCAGACCTTGAAGACTCGGACCTCGTATCAGAGTTGATCTCGATCGGCTCATCCTCGTGCTCGGACTCCATAGGCTCCTCCTCGGGCTCAAGCTCGGGTTCTGGTACAGGCTCAGGTTCTGGATCAGGGTTCTCCGGCGGATCGTCGGGGTCCGTCACTTCGCCATCGGGAGTATACTTGTCCCAGGGATCCCAATTCACCGCATCCTCAGTACCATGCTGTAGCCCCTCAAAACCACGGATTAGCCCAGTAATCTTCAACCCGACACGATGAAACCAGGCCAAATAAGTATGGCGTTGTAAGTCCTCTAAACCCTCATCTACCCAGACTATAGTAAGATACCTAATGTAAGTCTGGTTTGGGCCAACCGGATACTCAGTCTCCTCATTCACCGTATGCATGGGGACCCCAAAACGCCTAGCTGGCGGCATCCTCAAGGACGGGGATCTGAAAAGGTTTGCACTACAGCAATGAGAATAAATCTCAATAAACAGACAACATAAACCCCATCTAGGCTAATGCGTACCTAGATGAGTCTAACATACGATCTAACAGCCAACACAATTGAAACCACACAAACATACTTACCTCGCCATAAACCAAGTGCCAACTCTGCATATTAGTCAATTCACATTAATGCAATAACATCTCATGTACATATCACAATCATTCGAGCACCATACACACGTACGTTCACCCAATTCCATGAAGTACAATATGCATGCGCATCCATCCAACTTTCTCACGACCCAGGTCAACACCCCACAGGTCAGCCCTCCGATCAATCCGGGCTTTGTTCCGCATCAACACGCCTCAGGACCTTTCTCACGACCCGGGTCAACACCCCATAGGTCCTTTCTCACTTTCTCACGACCCGCGTAAACACGCCTCAGGTCAGCCCTCCGATCAATCCGGGCTTTGTCCCGCATCAACACGCCTCAGGACCTTTCTCACGACCCGGGTCAACACCCCATAGGTCCTTTCTCACTTTCTCACGACCTGCGTAAACACACCTCAGGTCAGCCCTCCGATCAATCCGGGCTTTGTCCCGCATCAACACGCCTCAGGACCTTTCTCACGATCCGGGTCAACACCTCACAGGTCCTTTCTCATAACCGGGTCAGCACCCTACAGGTTGGCAGCCCTCCGATCGATCCGGGCTTGTTCAAGCAAACACACATGCCACATAATTCAATCAATTTCCACGTCTTTCACGTAATCAATTATTACACAACCATTTCCAAACAACCACAACACAATTCGCCATTCTAACACATCATAAAATCCAAACTCCAATCATAAGCTCACCAATCCGACATTCAAGTCGGTCACAATCAAACATCCATTTTCACCCACGAGTACCACAACAAACTAGCCATTGAACCCGCCGTAATTCAACCACTAATTAAGCCACGATATCATTGCAATTTAGTCTACCAACGGGCCACATTCAAATGTCAATAATAGCCTTAACTTAGCCACTAAACCGATACTACTCAACCCCTAAACAAGTCTAATAATACCCATTATACTAAGTAAGGTTTAGGGAGTCACTTACCTAAGTTTGGCCCGGGAAAAACCGGCAAGGGGCCCAAAATGGCCCGGGAGAACAGTGGCGGCTCGGCGCGGGTGAGGGTGCAACGGGCACGGTGGCCGGCCACGGCTCGGCACAACCCTCGGCCATGGGCGAGGTGCTTGGCCACGGCAGGGCACTCGGCCAGGCGATGGACGAATGGCCGAGCGAGCGAGCGGGCGAGTGGCTGGGACGGTCCGGGCACGGCTGGGCGAGCGACTGGGCAAGCTCGGCCACGGCCTGGGCAGTCCGGCCACAGCAGGGACGGCCAGGTGGGCTCGGCCGTAGCCCAAGCAGGCTGCCTACGAGCTGGGTGGGCGGCCGGGCTGGCTGTTACGCGAGCCGGCCAGCTAGTTTGGCTGCACGGCGGTGGCAGCGAGCGACGGCGGCGGCGACGGGCTCGGCCAAGCGAGCAAGAGAGCGGTCAGGGAGTTTGGCTACATGGCGACGAGACGAGCGGCTGCTGGGCGGTGACGGCGACAGGCTTGGCCAGAACAGGGGGGCGAAGCAGAGGTAGCTACGTCGTTGCCGGAGTAGTGGGGACTACGGCGGCTTGGGGGGGAGGAAAGCTGGGTGGTGGTGGCGAGCCGAGGGGGGGCGTCTGCATCCGGGACGGCGGCACGCGGCGGCGAACTGAGTTGGACGGGGACGAGCTCGGCCCGGCAAGCTGGGCTCGCGGCGGTGAGTTGCTGGGCGAGCGAGCCGACGACGGCGACGGTGTCCGGTGGCTAGGCGACGGCGACGGGTGAGCGGCGGCACAAAGCGGACGGCGAGTGATGGTCGGCGGTGAGCAGCCAAGAGAAGGAGCAAAAGCAGCGGCGGTGAAGGGGAAAAAGGAAGAAGAAGAGAAGAAGAAAAAGGAAGGAAAGAAGAAGAAGAAGAAAAGAAAAAGGAGGAGAGAGAGAGTTTGCATGGGGAAGGAGGAGAGGGGACGTGCATGGGGGGAAGGGGGGACATGACCGGGCGCGCGACAAAGGGAAAGGAGAGAGAGAGAGAGAGAGTCAAATAAAATACTCAAGTGCAATCCGACGGTCTTCGTTCAAACCCGAAATTGATCCAACGGCTCACGAAAACCCTAATTATAAATTAGGAAAAAGGGCCAAAAGACACTAAATAAAACACACTACGAGGGAGGTCTACTAGTCTAAATCCGTACCCGATCAAAATTTCACTTTTCACTAATCCTGGGCAATATCGATGCTTGCCACGATAATATGGGCACCGTCCAATTAAATTCGTCACGAAACTCCAAGTAATTCGACATCAAAGTTTGGGCTCTAAATAACGGCCAAATTCGATCGAGTGCGATTCTAGAGAAATCTCTAATTTAAAAATAACCCAAGAGTGATCAGTTCCGGGCGAGATTTTACTATAAGCACACTGACGAAATACACGCTTTATAAATGCCAAAAATGGGCCAAATTTCAGAATGTCACACTACTTGTAGAAATTGTTGCTGGAGTAGACATACTAATAATTGCTCTTATTGAGGAGTTTTGAGTTGTTCAACACTTGTCATTGAGCTTATTAGATGAGAAGTGAAGCACTGTTATGACTAAGGAAATGCCTTTTCTCATTCTTTTGAGCATAGTCGTGAAATTGAGGAATGGATCATCAAAATCGGTATTTTCATCCTATAAATTGATGAGCCTATCATTGAGCTGAATGATTTGATTGAGTGGAGATTCATTTCATTTACTAACTGTGCATGTTTATCTTATCAGAATGACTGTATAAAATGAATTGATGCTTATTCTGCTTCAATGCAGGTTGTGACTTCAGCCAAGTCTGAGGACTCTGGGTCCTATATTGTTACAGGACGCTGCTGGGTGGATCCATCGCCTCCCTTTTCACGTTATGGCTCTAAACACGCTCGACCCAAGGAAAAAGTAGATACCACTCTTCTTTACAAGTCTACAAGGACATGAACCTCTTCTTTTCAGTGTCAATGTGAAACACATTGGTTGCCTCTAGCAGTTCAAAAGACAAAAGGAAGAAGCTTAAGGCATCAACATCAATTAGTATGTTCACTCAATCTTCCCCCGTGAAATGAAGTGATTTTTAGTATGTGACCCAATTATACATAGTGTATATGGTAATTGAATACTCTGAAATGAAATTTCGTAATATACGTAGCATTAGCCATTGAGTGCCTAGTATTCCCTCCACCAAAAAGCAAACTGTCGATGCCGAGACGATTACAGAGGATTCATTGAAATGAATACGAACCTCTCGTTAATTAAGCTATAAAATTAGGTCACGAAATTCCAGTCGTTTTACCAATGGGGCCAAAATATTTAACTTCACAGCCAGACATGAGAAGACGCGGTTGACTCAACTCCCACTCGGTGGATGTACACAAAAGA